CGTCCATTTTTTTCATATCATTGAACGCTGCCAACACAGCTATCTCTTTTTGTTGTTGTGATAAATAACTGTAGAAATAAGATGAAGAGAATTTGAATTAACTAGTGATCGATAGATGATTGATTATGTGCAATAATCGATCGAACTATGATTTCAATTGTATAATGCGGAAATTCACTACTTTGTTTAAGTGAATCTTAAGTGATTGAACTATCCTTTATAGCATTCATCGACAAAGTTCAGTGAATTTTATAATGTGAATATGAAAAAAAATCTGGTTGGCACTAAATCAGAGTGTTTATCCAATTTGGTAATTACCTACATACTGAATACTGATCAGATTTAAATTTAGCTGTAATAGATAATCCCCAAGCTTATTTTTCTAATTCAAACAATAATTCAACGTCAGAAATTAAAGTTTAATAACCAGCAGTCTGAGCATCATAAGAATGGGAAAGGTGTGATTATTACAGTTGCAGCCTCAAAAACATTGTGTTTGATACTTTAACTGAGCATACTATCAATTATAATTTCTTACAAGTAAAAATAACTGACTTACTCATTTGTTAAATATAAATCTATCATTCCGTTAGTTTGTGACTAATTTAGAATTAATTTCATGAGCTGATCTAACCTAGACCACCACTGAAAACCTGGAAGCACTGGATGGTCGTTTCGTCTTAGCATGGGACTTCTCAACAATGCGCAACCACGAACCCACGCGCGTGACTCGAACCTAGGACCTTCGGTCTTGCGCACGAACGCTTAATCTCTAGACCACTGGCCCAGCATCCAATAGGGTTGATGTCTAACTTCAACCGATCCATGAAATTGCACAACCCTTCATCCATGTGGTCTGTGTTAGTCCTGAAAATGGTGGTCTCTCAGTTAATCCAAATTTCTTTTAGAAGCGTCGACAGATGGAGCTTCAACTATGTGTTGAGGTAATGAATTCCGTTCGGTAACGATTCGATGGGAAAGTCGAATATCAGTTGACAAGTAATTTGTTCTGAGCTTGTGAACATTTTAAAGTGTCCTCATAAATTCTCTGTTTTGGAAGACGAGAAAAACGAGAGCATATCAGACGCAAATTTATCGCTAAGTAATCTAAAAACTATGGTTACGTCGCCTCTGGGTCTTTGATATGGCAATGAGAATAGGTTTAGTTTCGTCAGTCGAGCATCACACTCGAGCTATTCGACTCCTGGAGTCAGCTTAGTTGCGGTTCGTTGAGTCTTTTCTATCAGCTTGCTGTCTCACTTTAGGCAGCGGCTAGCCGCTTATATGTGTTACCCAAGTTTAGGACGAACGATTACTGTATACAAAATCAAAAACCTTTTAGCATGACATGGCTAAGGGATCTTTGTACTGACTATAAGGTTCTAAAACCTTTGGCCGCCATCACATGGCGGTGTGCAGTAGTTTTGAAGTCTTGGCTAAACATGACTCAGGTCGCTGCGTGTTTGGACAACAGGTAGCTTGATGTCATTTGCCGTGTATGTATCAGTACCTTAGTAACTAATATGTACCACAGTGCAATTGGGAGCACTTATCAGCAACTGCAAAATTTTATACATGTCAGAAAACTTCTCTAGGTCATCTTGAAGCTCTAAACTATCACCCATACTCAGTATCGCTCTCCGTATCTTGACATCGTCAACATACAGCAAGACCGATAATGATAGGAGACGAAGAAGGTTATTCACATACATGAGGAACAACATTGGCCCGAAAACTGTACTCTGAGGCACTCCGCTAAGCGCAGTTTTCCAGCTAGACAACTTTGAGTTCACCCCTATGCTTTGTTGAAGCCCAACTAGAAAGTTTTGTATTCACATTATTAACTTGCATTCAACCACGATATTACTTAACATATATAGTAGCCAGTTATGGGGAATTTTGTCAAGAGCTTTCCTGAAGTCAATGTAGGCTGCGTCTACAAGTAACTTTTGATCTTTAGGAGCGCACCAACTTTCACAAGGTACTAATATGCTAGTAAGACAGGATTGACCCATTCTAAAGCCATTCTGCTTTTCAGAAATCATCCAGTTCTCGTCGGGATACTTCAAGAATGCCTTCCGAATAATCTTTTATAAAATTTTAACAGTCATGCTAATTAGACTTACCGGTCGATAGTTCTGAGCTTTATGTTTAGTACCTATTTTGAAGACAGGACTTATTACGGCGTTCTTCTAGTCGTTTGGTAATCGACCCTGGGATGCAGATAGTTCGAAACACATGCTTAAGGGGTTCTCAACGAAATTTTCTAGTTCTTTTAGTAACCTAGGATGCATTTCATCAGGTCCCGTGGATTCGCTTATATCAAGCTTATTTAGCAGACCAAAGTCATCGAGTTCATTTATGGTCACAGTATATATGTGTGTGGGGTGCTTGTATGAAATGAAGTGAAGGGTGTCTCTACGGTATATGCATTGCTATAATAGTTTAAGAGTACCTGAGCTTCACCATAGTCGTCTTCCACTAGTGATGCAGTACTACTGCCTCCCCATAAAGCTGGGATGTCACCTCTTCTCTTAGTCCTTTGATTTATATATGACTATAGGAGTTTGGGATATTCTGTTCACTCATTAACTAACTTTTTTTCATGCAAGCTTCTAGACTTGCGGAGGGTCGAGGTACAAATATTTTAAGCTCCTCGATATTGGAACTTTTTCTCGTCAGCACTCAGTGACCTAAATATCTCGTACATTGTTCTCTTACGCCGAGTGCTGAGAACCTCTTTATTGAACTATAGTGGGGAGTTTCTAGGACCCATGGATGTGAGGTGCAGTAACTTTTAAGTACAGATTTCCAAATACATTCCAAGCCGTTCCAATGGGAAAGTTTGGCTCTATTGACCGATCTACTGAGGAGGCTGAGCGTATAACTTCTTGTATACTTGCTATCCAGACGTTTGGACTAACACATCTTTGTTGCAAGCAGAGATGCGATAAATAACTTTAAGTGACCTATTTCTGTCTACTACATTACCGCTATCGATCAAATGTGATAGAACCGAGCTGCGTATTGTCTTGACAGTATCTTTTCCTACCCACGATGGGATATGTTCATTAACTCTTTGCCTCAGTTGTCTCGTAGTGCGCCCAACACAGCTTTCTCAACAGGAGCAGCTGCAGTCGTAGATGCACATAGATGTGGCATATACAAGTAACTTATCCTTCAGTTGAGAAATCACCATAGGTAGGATCAAGTATGATAGATAGAGGTTGGCTGCATTAAACGTTCTCTTCACTGCTCTAGTTAGTCTATCCCTTACCATATCATCAGTTACATCTCCGTTGAACTGCAACTTCAGGAATAGGGGTTTCTTACTAGCTATTGATGTTTCTATTTTCTTGTTTGTTACGTGCAAGTGCTTCCTCAGGAAACGTTGTTGATAACCCATCTCGATCAACATATTATGTATGAGCTCTGCTTCCTTGTTTGTTGTATCAATTCAGCATATCTTCCTAGCCCTATTCGCAAGACATTTGAGTAAGTTTCTCTTATAATGAAGGCGTACAAAGCTCAAGAAATATGTGTACTGGCTTGCTGAATAACTTTTCCTACACACACTTCTATTGATAAAACCACCACATTACCAATTAGTACTTTTCACTTATTATGTCTATTTATGTAATCTACTCAATTGTTATCATTGACTCATAAACTGCCTTGATTGGTTTGATAATTTCGTATGTGCATATAAATATTACTGTATGTTAAAGCAAAGCCTGATCAGGATCAAATCGAAAACAGTATTGTTCGCTTAAATATGTTGTTCTAAATCACAATATGGAAATTTTTCAAATGATTTATCATACCACGTTTGGACTAGTTGTCCTACCCCAACGTTCTGGCTACCTATTTTCCAACTCTGCGAATTTACTAATTAAGTTTCCTGTTGTAAACGTTTTTGAATTCCGTGGTCAATGGTAACTGTATGAACCCACGTGTCACTAAAAACGGTTTACAAATAAGTGACGAACTGAACACTAGAAAACTCGTAACACTGAAGTTCACAGTATATTTTTCTGCTTATCTGTATGCTGTATCTTTCTTTCGGGGTCTAGTATTGGCCCACGATGTTTACGGTTCTAGAGACAAAACAATTGAGCTATTCTAATACGGTCGGTTCTTTTTAAAATTGACAACGGCAGTTTAAACACAATACATCAGAACCCCGATAGATAACACAGGGAGAAGTCGGATTGCAAGGAACTTGATATTCGAGGTAGGACAAGTAATGCGAAAGTAATTGATACAAATGTTGTTATTATAGTATCAAAATATGACTTTCAGGCCTACAGAAATCTAAGTCACTAAAACGTGACAAATAATCAGAGAATAAAGGTCATATGGGAAATTAAATCAGAAGAGAACACGCGGGAAGTTATCGTTCCTGAAGAGATTTTAGCAATTCTAATTAAATTCGATTATTCTTGTGATCACCTTAGCACTATCCTCAAAAAATACAAGAGGTAAATATGCTGAAATTCAAACATCTCATACATAACCGTTGGAGAAAGTAGTTGTTAACACATGATGCAATTTCACCAAAACTAGTAGAAACCTTACATAATTTAAGTTGGGTGATAGATGATGACTGCTAAAAATATTCATAACATACTTTTCTGAATTGTTACAATTAGAACGCACTGTAAACAGAAATTTGTTTGATGAGATTATATTTTTCAGACGACCTTCAAGTGATGCTACGGTGACCTTGGTAACATTCACCTATTTACTAGGGTTAAAAGAGGTTTATGTATTGATGTGAGGAATGAAGATTAAAACAGAGTTGATATTGAAGTTTAGGATTCGGAGTTAGCGTTTTCATCACGAACTGACATCATCTATAATGCTAAAATCTCATATATCCATATAAATGAATATAAATTTCATTATGTCATCTTTTTTTAAACCATTTTTATATAATGATTGATTTCAATCATTTCACTAGTCTAATGAGATAGAGATAACGGTTATTAAAAGTGTAGATATAGTTAAGCTTTTCATAGTATTTAATTGATGTAAAAAATAGCCTAATTTACTATTTGTACAAAATGCATTTAAGGTAAAAGAAAATAACCGAGTTTTAATATGTAATGACCGATTGATCATTTCTTTCAAAAGACTTAATCTTATAAATGGATGACAGTCGGATTACTTGGTTATTACTCAGCAGCATGACAAGCAAAAATTATTAAGTAAAACTGATAGCAAATGTTTTATGAACAAATAAATTTACACATTTTTTCGTGAAGGCATAAAAGAATTGAAAGTCAGTGATCTTAACCAGAGATACATTAATTAATGAAGTAAATGTAAAGTTTAAAATTATCAAATCAAATGACAAGGGCTCTTTTTAAAGAAGTCATAATAGAACTAGCAAAATATGGAGTTTATGCTTAAATGATTTCACTCCTATGATTGTACGTACAAAACAAAATGAAAAAAGGATTAGAATTTAAGCAGTTAAACAGTGTTATATGAATTTAAGTGAAATATGACACTTGCAAAAGTAAATTCTGAAGAAGAAAAAGAACAGAGTGATTTCCACTAGAAGAAACAAAATCATCGATTAATCGAAGCATAATTCAAATGAATAAGACATAGAAATTAGGATGAAGATGATGATATTAACTCAATAGACTTTAGTTGTGTTCGATACAGTTTTACAAGTTCTTGTTTAGTGATAAATGTATAACGAAATGACTGTAATTAGGAAAAAAATTAAATAAATCTTAGTAAAAGGTTAAGTAATGATTACATTATAAAAATGTAGTAATGTATATTATTAAAAAAGGATCAAGTAGTTTCGTATAAAAACTTGAGTCAAATAAGAACAATGATGAGAGCAAAACAACATTAATTCATTTCATTTTGTTAGGTTCTCATTAACTCCTGACAACCCGTAAGTCGAATTTGAACAAAGTTTAGCAAACTTATAGAAGTCAAGTTGGTTCAAAGTTAGTACGAGAATATATCAGCATATGTATCAAAAAATTGAATTTGCAAAGATTTTGTAGAAAGTTGTAAGCATGTATATGTAATCCAATAGGAGGTTCTATAACATTGATCAAAGTAATGGAAAAAGAAAATATGAGGCGTACAGAAACCTTATTTCCCGTATTCGTATTGAGACAGTTGATTCTCAGATGTACGATGAATATCAAATTCCAATACAACAATGAATACCATAGACAGCTGGATGGTTTAGCCATAGGGTTACCGTTCCTAATATTGTTTTTTAAATTATAATTCCTAAATATAACATCGAGAAAATTATAACTCGAAGGTTAAGAAAGACGGTGCACAAGACATTTACTGCAGCCGAACTGAGCGCAGTTTTCTACAACCTCCTGATACTAAGAACCTTCAATAAAAACAGACTGTCTGAATTCGCTACATCCATGTGTATCTACTAACTCAACTGTTTCTGTGGGGCCAATTATATAGGGTGTACAATTCAACAAGTCCGTCATCGCACAGCAGAACATCATCCATCTTGGTTGAGCAAACGAAAAATAAGAGTGATTAAGAGTTCTATTCTCACTCACTTGGTGGATACAAGACATCAAGTTGATTTGAATTAAGCTTTTAAGGTTATCTACAGTATTCCATCAAATTTACCATATGGTTTATGAGTTTGTCTGTCGTATATTGCTTAAACTATCGAAATTCATGTCCACAAAACCTAATCTTTGCATACAAAAGGTGTTTGTACAACCACTCTTGCTACCTAGGTATTGGAGTGAGTTTTTAACCGAACTTTGATTAGACCCTTTCCTTCAAAAATATCCGACTACTTTTCTAATTTTTTTGAAATGAGATTATGAACCGACGAATGTTAGAACACCATTTAAAACCTGGAAGTGCTAGACGGCCATTTCGTCCTAGTATGGATTTCTTCGGCAGTACACATCCACGAAACGGCCGTCTAGTGCTTCCAGGTTTTCAGTGGTGATATAACATTCATGATCTCAATCAAACACCTAATAATCTCTACACCCTCATACTGATAATTTCCTAATTATTACGTAACACAACTACTCAATGAGTAAATCAAATATATGTATATTAGTGTATAGCCATGATGAAAAAATTAATGAAGAGAAATTTCTTCACTTTTCAAAATGAGGATTTCCACTATAATCAAAACTAAGTGATAACCGAATGACATAATGGAACACAAGTGACACACAATTGAAAATGACATTAAATCAGCTTTGTCATCTAAAAATTAGATTAAAAATGAAAGAAAACTACTTCAAATCATAATGTTTTTCCTGTCGATTCGTAAAAACTCAGCGCACAGAGGGTATTGCTCTTAATAAAATGATCGATGATTTAGATATTATATATTGAAAAAAAACTATCAGTCTCAAATGTAACGTATGCCAGAATTCCCACAAAATTTTGTCAAAGTTTATTTCAAACAAACACTTATACGAAGCTCCTTTGAAACACTCTACAAAGTTCATTTAGAACCTAGGTAGTGCGTGTCAAAATTTAGCTTGAGGAGAAATTTCAAAACATACAATTTAAATGTCAAAGGTGATTTAAAATCATTGTCAATCATCCTTAGTTTGTGTTCCACTATGTCATACGGTTATCGCTTAGTTTCGATCTTATGATCTTTTTCTGTTACTCTTATCAATATTATAGGACCTTCTATTGGGTTAAATGTAAGATCTGTTTCGCAAGTTTTGTAAAAAAAATTCTCCACTTACACACTGATGTAACATTCTTCTTGATTCTTCCAGATTTTCATTTCGTCAACCTTTTGATTCCATTTGAGATGGTACCATTTGTATTTTATTGTAGTTTTTTTCCTTACGTCTTCACTGAATTTCTATGTTTTTCTTGAACTACATCTATGTTATTTTAGTTTATACTTGGTCATGGCCATTGTCATATTGATTCGCTCACATTTCTGATTGTGTTGCTTTAATTGACTGAAATTGTTCGTTTTGGATTATGAATTGAAGCACTCTTGCAGCAATGAAAACATTCCGTGTTATAAAGAAATTAAGTATTATCTTTGAAACAATTTATACGTGATCTATCCAGGAAGGAGAGCATAACATTCCAGCGTAGATAGGACTATTTGTTTGTTATACTAAGTTATTATCGTTTGTCAGTTTATCTATTTCATGTGATTTAGATTTCAATACTGATTAAACAGTTATTGGTTGAATAACTACGTGGTAATATTTGTTTAGGTAATAACGTACGTCTAAATTTATAATAAAATTTAGAAAAGTTATTCACTCGATTACTTTGTCTTAGTTTCGACTGGGCGATAGCGTACATCTAAACTAACCTTAATAGTTATACCCTATTCCGAACTGATTAAGTTTGGAGGTTACATTATATATGCATACTTACAACATTCTACTCCATCTTTGCAAATTCGATTTTTTGATACATTATGCTGATATATTCTCGTACTAACTTTGAACCAACTTGACTTCTATAAGTTTGCTAAACTTTGTTCAAATTCGACTTACGGGTTGTCAGGAGTTAATGAGAACCTAACAAAATAAAATGAAACAATGTTGTTCTGCTCTAATAGTTGTTCTATCTCGATTCAAGAACAAAATTCATGGACGGATTTATGTGGGATAAAATAAATCTTACTCATATTTGTGTTTCCAGCTGGGTAGTACGGTCATAGTTCGCATCATTATCTTTTCGCAGATTCAGTTCAAAATTTGGGAACGTTTTATTTATTCAACTTATATATACTATGTCAGTTTAAGCTAATGATTCTAATTGTGAATACTTACTCCCAGTAGATTTATTAGTTTTCAAAAGGTATGTTTTACGTTAAGCTACTTTTGGTTAATTTATCTGTAGCCACGAATCTGCTTCATTTTCGTTATTTACTGATTTGTATTCAGAAAGGTGACTGAACTACTGAGGTCAACGTAAGGGGAGAATCAGTGAAGCGAAATTGCAAGTTGTAACATATATTAAATAATCAATTCATCAAATACGAAATGGAATAAAATACCTCGTAGGACTTTATTTGAATCGACTTCATAAACGAGGAAAGATACATTGAGGCTTGATTATAACGTCACAGATTAATCAGTAAACACTGATTTACGCTTGAAAAGCCAATGAATAAAAGTCCCACACGCATGCTCGTACATCCATGCTAATTATCCCGTACATCAGACAACAAAATAATCTCTTTTTCCGTTTTAAATAAGTAATGTTTTAACACGTTGGTTGTAACTGAGCTAAATAGAAACTCAACCAATTAATAGCTTGGTTTATATAAATAAACCATGTTGGGCTTTACTGACATAAATTAACATAAGTAGTAAGGCGTCTAGGTATTTTATTGAAGTAAACTCGACTACATTCTCACCAAATACTGGTAATCTAATGGTGTTAACAGAGATATAAAGAAGGCATGAAAAACAATGGAAGTTATTTTTGTGAACATTATTTCACTTAATTTAAAGTTTGCAAAACACTAACATTTAATTTTGTCCCTAGATTATTTCATAAACCATAAGCTTTGCTTGATGCATAATTCACCGTCATACCATTTCATATTCCAGGGCTATTGTAATTTAAACGTAAACTACGGTACTTTATATTCCTACTCTAATACCCAGTTTGCCCATAAATGTACTTTCATAATTGTTTGTTTGTTGTAATCGTGTTATTTATCTATATATTTATGCATTTTTATACTCATCTGAACCGAGATTCAGGAATAAATAGAGAAGCACTTCAGTTGAATCGTCTTCTCTCTCGCTCTGTCGCTTGTCAATCAATCAGGCGATCGAATAGTTTTCGTCTCTGCCTAAGGCCATTGGTTTTAATTCGAACTCACGCATTATTAGCCTCATAGGTGAACCAGTTAGTTTATCGTGTCAAGGCCTTGACTTAGATCGAGACAAGTTCTCTTCAGTATATTATTAGTTAGATAAACCGAGGATGTAACAACTAACCATCACTTCCCAGTTTAATTATTAATCCTAATTACAAACCACATACTTTAGTCTGATTATTATAAATTAATGTTTATTTCTGATGTGCTTATTTTGTAATACCACCCATCCTACTGCTACTTCAGGCAGTCTAGTCAAGATTATCAACTATACTCTCATTTCAAAAATATAGTTTTACATTTCGTTTCCTTTTGATAGGTAGTGATAAGCCTAGATATTTTATCACTATGGTAATTAGATAAATTTGTATATCCTAAGCGAATTTTAGATTCAAGAATTTTATTCCTAGGTACGTTGATTTTCCGAAAATTGGAGATATGATGAAATCACATTATATCACTGATAAAGCTAAGGATAATGTTTCGCATAGATGAATAAAATTATGTCAACTTACATGATTAATAAGCACATGTTCACCGACTATATTTTTAGGTAGATTACGTAAAGATTCCATTAATTTATCCATTGAATTCAATCTTCTTCTTGAATTCGAATCTCCCAGTAAAAGTTGAAATATAGAAAGTCCAATACGAAATAAAACCTTCACACCTAGAATGAGAGTAAACGAAAAACTGTGTTCAACTCCATACCCTTTGATAATACAAGATTTGAATTTTTAATGCTACTTAACTGTTGATCATTATTTGTCCTGTTACAGTTTACATTTTAAAATATCCGATATTTATCGATAACCGCTTTATCCAAAAGAATCCTGGCGAATGGTTATTTGGAATAGTTGGACAATCTAGATGGCAGATATTGTCATGCTTGTATTAACTGTCTGTCGTCGTTTTCACGTAAATGTTATACTCTAAACCAAGAGCAGTTATGTAACACAATTTGTTATTGCTCATAAGTTAGAAAGATGTAAACGTATTTTTTCTTGACAGTTTTATGATATTAAAATGTGCAACTACATATATGGATCAAATTCATATTTGTGATTGGTATGGATAAAACCCTAAGCATACTAAATTTTTAGTTGAAACAAACTAGGAAAGAATAACATATAAAGTACAACCATTATATTACACTTGTTTGTCAGGCTTGCAATATCGGATCTCAAAATCACTGTTTTGAAAAGCTATTCTGATAAAAGTAAGTATCCGAGATCACTTTTCAGAACATTACGTTGAAACCACATCCACCCAAATTATTGTTCTTTGAAACGTCTTACACTGAATTATATCAATGAAATTAAGCCAGGAATACCATAAATGCAACGAAATATTTCATTACGAACACATAAATTATATGATTCATCGGAAGATAAACTTGGTATATTCAAAGATGACAGTAATACAGTTGTTAGGAATCTCACAGAAGACTTGAACGTGAAGCTAATGAAAGTTTAAGGGAGATGGAGATCCATATTTCTTTCCCGGAAACACAAGAGAAATATGAATTCAGTTACTCTAGAATAACATTACCGACTATTCAGCTATAGGCAATATCACTTAGTCTTAAACTTTGTATTACATCAACTAATGTTAATGAAACGAATGTCAAAATCTAATTTGAAAGTTTCATTCATAAGATAAATGACCTTACCCCTGTATCTAATATGGATTATGAACAATTCAAAACAACTCTTGTAAAATATTATAACCGAGTTCTATTTAAGTACTTTCCAAGATTAATATACATCCTTCCTATAACTGAGTGATATGTGTGATGTAAATAACATGATCATAATCTACATTCGATCGACAGAATAATCAATGAAATCACGTGAATGACAAATCTTACCTGTGGACAGAAGGTTAGTCAACACAAGGTTGATTACTTTTGCTTAGACAATTCCCAGATAATTTAAGTAACTTGTGTCAGTGAATGGAAATAAACAAATTCAACGGAGAAAACTTTATTTCGACAAAATCATTCACCTAAGCTTTACATTAGTATTTATAATTGTTTGGTAAATATATGAGTCTATAAAAAGCTAAAAGTGATAGTATCATAAAGTGGACTGAGATTTTGAATATCAAAAGAGGTTTGGGTTGTGATCGAGAGTTGAAAGAAGAACAGGTTGATAAGAATAGTTTATGGTCCAGAAATATGAGGGAAAACTATCCACTTAACAGATATGAAGAATATTTTAATCACCGAAAGATTTTTATCATATCATAAATATTTTTTTCAGTAAATTCTCTCTTGGTTTTAAATTATATATCCGAATTAATGATCGAAAAAGTGACCAGGTTCAGGGCAAATACATCATTTAAAATCACAGCATTTGAATTCAGGACTGTTTGTAAAATAAAATGAAATTGTTAATGTTTAAATGACTAATATGCAAATCAATATTAGATATATTTTTGTTTTATTACGATGAGAATCTTCCAGCGGTTAAAATGTTCCTCATATCTGTTAATTAGATAATCATTTCTCATAGTTCTAACCAAATTTTATTAGAATTACAACTAGGTGAAAAAATAAGTGATGATTATTTTCATGATCAGAATTGGGTTTGTGGAGATTGATGTGATCTTAATAGTTGAATTCATGAGTCGATGTAAGCTAGACCACCATTGAAAACCTGGATACACTGGACTGGCACTTCGTCCTATTTCAAGTCCCGCATGCGGGATCGTGGATGCGCACTGCTGAGGAGTCCCAGACTAGGAAGAAATGGTCGTCCAGTGTTTCCAGATTACTTTTATATCTACTGGCAATTAATCTGACTTTTTGTACTTATTGTGCTCTTTTAATAAAATAATCATTCAGATCAGTTGCCATAAAAAGTATATTACACTCAACTGGTATTAAATAGATTAATTTTATAATTCTGTCCTCTAAACAATTTCTTCTATCTTTGAGAAATTGTAACCGAATATATATATATATATATATCCTTAGATAGATTTATTCTTAAACTAAGCAGTCAGAAAACATTTCGTCTGTATTGATCAAGTTCTCATTAGTTATTTGGTCTTTCCCCTAAGTGCGTGGTAACTTAGTGATGTCATTGTTAATTTTGTAATCCTATATTGTCGATAATAGAAAAGGAGATCGCATTCTTAACTGAAGCATTTGACAGTCGAAAATCAAAGTTTAACTGTGGTAAAATTATTATATTACGGAGTAAGTTGACTGCCCAGTGGGATGATACTTAATAGATGATTCTAGAAGAGTTATAAAAAGGTTTTACTTTAGTTTTTATATAAAGCTGCTTAGTATGCGGAAGGTAATTTGTCAATCTGGGATGATTACTGAAAACCCCACAACCTATATTCATTACTTCATTTCTAAATGTCTAACATCACGCGTATTGCTTGGCCGTAAGTAATTAAGCTTTTTGAATCACTGCACATCAAAATCGCCACTATAGGCAAACTCTGGTTTCCTATACATTCATCCTTTGGTAGTATGGGTATATATGATAGTCGTCAGTATAATACTGTACCTTAGGCTGAGCCCAAGTTATGGTTAAAATAATTGCCATCGCAATACACCGACGTAACAAAGTGTGAGATATTCACAGACCATCGTATTTAATAAGCTATTCAAATAATATTTTAATAGAAATCAGAGATCTTCAATATAAAGTTACATTTAATAAAATGTTAAGTGATTGATCCTTTCTTTAACGTGATGACTTGGCAGATACATTGAATGTAGGGAAACAGTCTATACATACCTTCGAAGAAGAACATATCCCATATACGGAGGACTGTAGACCATGGCAAATTGCGTGTATACAAACACATGAACCAGTCAATAGCAAAATATACCGGCTCTGTATTACATTTCACCTATGTTCAAGAAATAAATAAAACCATTGAGACAATTCATATATAATATCTTTTAAGATAACAATAAGTTCATTCAATAAAGGTACGATTTTTCTGAATGTTCTTTTTTATCCTATTCAAGTCTATTATAATGAAATAGTCGCGCTTCATTTTCTTATGTTTGGTAGGCTTGTAGTTGCTTAGCTTCGTTAATTAATCACCTTGATAATCGTTATTATATAACTCCCAACGGTGTTTGAAATCAGAAGGCAATAAGAAGCAACGGCTGCAGTTTATTAGCGGACAGCACAGATAACAAAGTTACAATCACGTCGAGTGAATTTGGAGCAGATAGGCTAATGTGTGTGAGCGAGCGAATATAGGGGTGAATTTATAGTCAAATCGAATGAGGCGCAGCTAGGCAAGGTAAACACTAAGTGAGGCAAGGCAATGAATAGGATTTGAGCACATATGAACATAAGAAAGAGAATGATTCATCGAGCGATATTTAAGCGACTAACATTTAAGCTAAAAAGAGATATGTGAATAGGCTGTCACATGTGATCAAGCGTACACATTTAAACAGACAAGATAGTGATCACAATAGTACAAAGAAATAGACGAATCGTTAATGTCCAAATAACATTGTCTGTTAAATAAGTTAATAAAAACGGCTTAACAAAATTAACCATAGTTGAAATCGATTGTAGGACAGTTGCTATAGCGTTAATTTGAATCAAATTTGTTTTAATTTTAGCAGAAATTTGAACTATTTTAAATATGTATGAAAATTGGTGTAACATCCATCTAACATTTCACCTTTTAGAAGTTTAGGTGAACAGGTATTTATTTACACTAACAACTAATACATTTGGCATTAAAAACAAACAACTCAGTGTTATTGTGTTAATGTTTTGTTCATTTATTTTTCTGATAAATTTCTAATTTCAATAGTTGACATCATGAGTCAATTGAAGCTAGACCACAATGGAAAGCCTGAAAGCACTGAAAGGTCATTTTGTCCTATTGTGGGACTTCTCGGAAGTGCGCATCCATAACTCTGCCTCGCGGGATACGAACCCAGGACTTATCAATCTCGCGCGCGAGCGCTTAACCACTAGACCACTGAGTTGGCATCGAACGATGTTAATGTCTTACTTCAACTAATCCAGGTTTTTCATGGTGGTCTAGCTTCAAATGGCTCATGATCTCAACTAATGAAATTACTACAATTTCCACCCCACCCCCTCAAATTTCTAAATGTCATTAAAAATAACAGTTAAGAGAGTAATTCAACAATTAAGGAAATTAATATAATCTTTATCTTCTTATTACACTATCGAGATATTGAGGAAGATTATTTTAATATATAGATGACTAAAGAAGCAATAATTAGAATGTTCAAATTTCTTATTAAATAGCTGGATAATAAAAGTAGCTGTCAATGATTAATCAAACAAAATGTGATTTGAAACAGCAAGAAGAGGTCTATTGTATATCACTCCACTTTATTGAATTAATTATGAGGAAAATCTAAACTGCATTAAAATTCAAGATAATCATAGTGGTTGAATAAGATTTTTCTATCTATAAAATATCAGCAAAATGCGAAAGATCCTAATGGATTCAGATGTATGAAAGTTATATCGTAAATTAAATGACACACAATCATTGAGTCTGAATGCTTTATTTTGATCAATTGGATTTTTAATGTTCACAAATGGAACAGTCATACATCTTTATATTGAACCTAATGAGTCTTTACCTAAGAGTGATGGTTATTGCTCAGATATATGATGGAAAACTAGTGTAATAGTGCATAAAGCGCAATTACTGTATGGAGATACAAAGACAAGCTAAGGAAATTTATCTTGATGAGACTATAGTTTATAGACGACCTTTGAGCGACGCTAAAGTGACCTTGAGAGTGTTCATTTAATAACTAGGATCAAATGAGGGTTATAAACCTGTGTGAGGAATTAAAATTCTGATTTACAGATGGTGATTAAGGTTAGAAATTAGATTCAGAATTTTCATCACGAACTGACATCAGCTATAATGCCAAAACTCTATTTACTCGAATGAGTGAATTTCGTGCCAAAATCCGAGACCTGTTAATTTATACCTGATTGGTTCGTCCGTAAATTATAGTCTCGCCTTTGTCTGTATTCACACCAAAATAAGTGGAATCATTATGTGAAATAAATGTTTTTTCTTACGTACTCTTTCATTACGCCGCTGCTGATGCTACCTCCAAATTTAAGTTCCTTCAAAAATATTGTCATTCGACGTCTTAAAATCGTTTACATAATTGATTACAAATTTTGTTCGATATAAATTCCTGAAAATGAATATATGTACTGTGTTTCGCTCGTCTTCAGTATTAATTTCAGGAAACAGATCTAACTCTATGAGCTAACTGTACAGAACTATCTAAGTAACCAACTTAGATTTTTTTAAGTAATTGAATGTAAGATTGAAGACATTTTAGTGTGATCAAAAACATGATGAAAGTATAATATTCCAGAGGTCTAGTAAAAGTCTCGGGACATTCCTAGTAACTATACAAATCTGTGTGTAATAGAAAGATATTCAAATGATTTCTTTTCAGGTTCAATAAGTTTGTTTGTATATGATGAAGAACAACGTCTTATAAATCTTAAACAAATACCTGATAATATAATCTATATAGTAACCATATTTGGTAAGATTTAAACATGATGTTACGTTAAAACTCCCTAATTCAAAGTTTACAGCCCATTAGCAAATTAGGTTTACAATTATTGCACGGTGATCCTGATTCCCCACCCCTCGTTGATGAGAAATTTAAGGTTGTGATTAAAAAGTTTTGAAATAGGTGATTGGCGGACTTGCTTTTAAAAGTGTGTACTCATGTGATAATAAAAAAACATTTTGTCGCCTATAATAATTTGGTTTGGTCGCCTTTACCTTTCCTCCAGCCTACTCCTACAACAGAAAACATTGTCCTTCAAGGAAGGCGGTGGTTGAGCATACCTAACACAAGCCACAACCACTTCAGCTGATGAAGATTTACTTCCTTATCAATCGATTTCCCATATTTACCTAGTGCTCTATTCCTAACCCAGACATCGCTTACTTGCTGGTCCCTTTACACAAGCAATGCTTCGAAGACACTTATCATCGAATACTAGTAACCTGTGAATATCCCCTATTCTTAGTGGGGATGTTCCGCATCCATAAAGTAGGAGGCAGGGAACTTCTGCGCAGTAAACTCGCCCTTTGGTGAGGAGACTGTAGTGACCCACTTTTATCAAGAGAACGCGATTGATTTAATGGAAACAATTATTATTATAACCAATTGTACCAGTGATTGGTTTACTGTATTTGTTTGTTTAAGTGTACCAAAACACATACATTCTTCCGTTGATTGTGACCTTGCACGAATTCTCTTGCGCTCAGTAACCACACTTGTAACTTGGCACGATCTCAGTATTCTTTCGATACCACGAGATCGCCAACGAATACATCTTGACTACAGCCATCAACTGCCTTCTGATATTTGGCTTACGAGGGATCTTATCGGTTAACTGGCACGTAGTCTTCTTGTAGTGGTGATCATAGTCAACCGCGACTCGACGCCCCACTACAAGATCGATATCTTACCTACACCACAAGCGACGGAAGTTGACAAAAGTCAATCGAGTCTACTGAATTTGTGCTCAGAATTCGTCAGAAACCAGACCGTCAGTACTGATGAGATCCCCAAGATAAATGAAGTGGTCGATGCGTTCGACTACTTCACCCATTCAATCAGGTGATGATGCAAGCCGATCCTTAAGTAAAATTTTGCGTTTGGAGAGAGAGAACCACTTCCCAAACATGCCTTCATTGTTGCTTAAGGTGGTTGGAATATTCTGTATTTTATCAGCATCTCCAACAAACGGAACCATATCATCTGCGTATTCCAAGTCAACAAGTGAATGTTTTGGTAGAAATTCCATCCATAAAATGCCAAACGATGGAAGTGTTGTCTCTAAGAGCATGCCTGCGAAAAAGTTGGATAAAAATGGATAAAGCAGACAGCCCTGACGAACGCCACTTAAAGTAACCACTTCTAGTGATAGTTCGCCATATGCCCTAACTCGACCAGTAATGTTCTAATAGACAGTCTGCACAAGGCTAATGTACTTCTTTGATACTCCTTTCAATGACAGACACCGACCCAAAATTTCGAGATCAACGGAAATGAACGTCGCCTTATGGTCAGGAAATACAACTATAATCGAATGTTGAGAAGCATGTCTATGTTCCACAGTCTGCGAAAAGGTGATTATTTGGTCTATACATCCACGTTTACTTTTGAAACCAGCCTGATTTTCTCGGATTTCAGGCTGATTTATAGTCCTAGTGAAAATGAACTTCCTAACCAATGTTGATTGTCAGTGATTGACTGTTTTGGGCATAAATATCCTGCTAGTTAAATAGTATAGGCAAACAAACTTTCAGAGTTGAGGCTTTTGTTTCAGCTGTTTCGGGAAAATAAACTTGTAACTCATTGCTTAATGAAGCCTATCAACAAAAAGTACTTTTGTTTGATATTCATATGTAACAACAATTACCATGTACATTATTGCAAACTTTGCACTAACTTTAATACGGTACCTTGACGATTGTTTACAGTCTTCTCCCATTTTCAAAATTTAATTCATTTGCAGCTAGTAGAGTAGGTTTTGAACAGGTCTGGGAATTTCCGTATCACCAACATTAATATTAAAACCTACTGTACTTCACTATTCAGAAGAAGTTATGTGCAAGTAAGAACAGTAAAAGTCCTCAAGTGTTATAACCAAGTAGGTTAAAAATAGCTAATCTATTCCTATTCTTGCAAACTCAACAAAGTGATTTTATTGTATTTATTTTATGTAATGGGTCATAAAATACGCTGTTTATCACCACGTTTCAAACACTTTTTTACCAAAGTCAAGAAAATGAATTTCACTGATACACTGAAAAACATACCATGTGATGGTATATATCTGGTTGATATTTCTTCACCAATTCAAATAACATGTTCAATTCAATTTTGACACGTACCTTAAATTAAATCAGAAGTTAACAGTTATCACTATAGCTAAAGTGGAAACAATCAAGCACTTTGAAAGAAAAGTAATGATAGAAAACAACGGAAGCTCAAATTATGTGTCTGTTTCCGTTAAGAATTTAAGCGTAATATTTCTGAATTGAAACTAATCCCGACAGTTAAGGAATAATTACCACTGACAGATAAAGAACGGATAGCTACGCTATGAGTCAACAGTGGTAGGAAGTTATTAACAAGGATTTGTCCTGAAAGCTGAAAAGTTTTTGTTTGATCCTTAAATAATGAAGTTTTTACAGTTATACATTTCTAGGGCAAATAGAATCATCTGTTAGAAGGGTTGCTCAGTCAACATTAACTTTCCAAAACTATTTTCAAACTGATTGTAGATTGGTAAAATTACCAGACGATAATTGTTGGGTTTTTGAAATAAACACTAATTAGACATGTTGGGCATGAGATGAAGTCTAATTTAAGTAGTAAAAATAGTAAGTTACTTAAACACAAAAAGTAGCGAACTATACCACATAGTAAAATCTTAAAAAAGTAAAACTGTTTATCTAGAGCAAAGTAAATATTTTATTTCTAAAAATGAAATTGACAACAAAACGTGACAGTGGTTTGACATCAAAATATTGTTGTCTCATTTTTATGCATTATGTGCTTCAAAGAATAAACAGGAATATAAATAGTGTACTTTTACATTTACTGCAACTCATGTTCTATAATCTGCATCCCATAATCCTGTCACATTCCACTACGTCTTTCCTTTTTTACATGAACGTGAATAATAAATGTACAAAAAAGGATCGGAAAATGACTGTCTATTTGGTTTTAAGAATGCTCAATAAAAAGTCTATATATGAAAGGGAATAAAGCATTCCCAGTGCAGTTACCGGACAGTAGATTATAATACTTAATTTTACGTGTATTTAACTTACCATTTTATTATAATCACCTAACCTCCTTTTTAATGCATTTAGATTATCTTCATACTTTACCGAATGAAAAAAAGACATGAAATAAAATAAACTATTGATATATTAATGTGTGGTTTAAAACAGATCTACCAGTGGGATTAAAAGCAAGAAATTCTTTAGTATGTTCCATGTTTGGTGTATGTGAAAACAGTGAGGCAAAAGAATTGTATTCATTTCCAATGATTGTTGGTATTTATCTGGAATCCTTAGTAAAATACTATCACATATGAAAATAGAAAAAATTTCATTTAATAGTGAAACAACAGGTATTACCAATTTATTTAATTAGGTCGCTTGGTCTTGTTAAGTGAATAAGTGACCAATCTCTAACAGAAATATAGTCATATTAGGCAAGATAACTGACTTACAAGATCTGATTTAAAATAATCGGTCATATATCGGTTGCATAAACAGACAAAGGTCCAAAATGCATCCTCTTCTGGCATATGTATAAGTAACGCTGCAGCAATCGGTGCTTGAGCTTGGCAATAGCCAGTAGCAGGATGTAGCAGTGAATATGCTTTGAGTACGTTGAACAGAGATGCTTTTCTAATAAGTGAATAAAAATTGAGAGAAACAACGGTGTTGAAGATTTTTCAAAACGGTTAAGCCAAAGCATCGAAATAGATAGTTTACACTAAATCTTAAATTCTTCATTATTCTGTGTACGTTTACTTTTTTCACTCATGTTAATATTTGCACTGTTTTGCCGACTATTTTTCACCCGTTTTGAAACATGGTGATTTCAATTGATATAATTTTGCACGGTGTTACTTATTATTGCTCAAGTCTAATAAATTCTCAGAGCGAAACCAGACTATATTAGTTCCATTTCGTAGTTTGTCATTTGTTCCAGGTTTGATAGACTTGTAGGCTTCAACAAGTAGCCGGTTTTTAAAACTATTCCTTCGTACCGCAGAGAAACTTAATAATGAGTATATCGTATGTCCAGACAGAACTTGTGTCTTTGACTGATGTATTTTCTCACATGTAATCCATAAACTGCACTGTCTAGTGAATACAAGAGCTGAGGTCGTCATAAAGTTTCTTTATAAATTGTGGCATATATCAACTGCATTCCCTTGAAGATGTCCTTCACTTGTGGCAAAACGCTTGCCCCATCTTCATTTTCAATGTTCAAAGCTTAATTCGAAGCTATTCAAATTCTGGCTTTTCAGCTATCTTTAAATTTTAAATTTTGGTAAAGTCGGGTGCAGGGGCGATTTTCCTAAATACAGTTTATCAACAATTATTCGGCAGTCACGAAACACATACAACAGCATCCATCTTATCTTTTCATCACTACAGAATACTGATGAATATTCTTGCGTTGCATCATTTTCGTAGTATTCAGAGCCCTAAGTAAAACTCTTGGCCCCCCCCCCTAAGAAAGAGCTGTTTTTTTTAATTTTTCTCCTTATACACCCTTCAAAATTTCATCAGTCATGTCAAGGTTTCCCTTAGGTTACACCGAGACGTTTAGTAGCTTAACATACGTAGCACTAGCAGCTCAGGAAAATATAGACTTTCTAACTACTTGCCTTACTGGCTAGACTTAAAATTTCACCAGCGCTATTATCAGAAGAAAATTCAAGTTATAATACTGGAAAATATTAATTTTCTTTTCTGCTTTTTGCCCAATCAAACTATTTCTACTGTTATACTTTGGGGAGCGTCAGGCATAGTATGATCTATTGAGTTGGCAATTCAGTTCGACATTAAATATGATATAATTTTTAATAATATGCTTTGATTTACGTGAGTGAAATATGTTTATTCAAGGAGGGCTAGTGTGTTGACTACTGGTAATTAATGACAAACTTGACTTACCCATTACCATGGCTTGTAGCAAAAAGTACGTGATTAGGCAACTGTCTGTCGACATCTAATTTGATTTGTGAAATTGTCTTTGGATCACCCGACATTCTCAAAAGTACCTGGGTACGGTTTAAATAAGAAAATTAGTAGTCGAGAAAAATAAGTCACAGAAAGACTGTTTTTGTCACAAATGTACCAAGGTATTCATATTAAATTAGCTACGTTTTGCAACTGAAAGAGCTGTTATCTTGGAAAAAATTCAGCATGTCTGACAAAGTTCAACCACGTTAGGAGTGACATGAATATCACCGAATGAACTAAACTGTACTCAATCGAGAATCGGCTGACGTTGAGAGTATAAACTAATGAATGCTAAGTTGGTGAATCCAAAGTCCCGTAGTATCTGTTGGACCCGAATATCCATGACATGATTTCTGATTAATTGGTTTAGAAGTCTCAAGCCACGATGAAATATCTTTTACGTGTTCTAGAATTTCTAATGGCTCTTGATCTAAAGTAAGTCTGCAATCAAAAATGTTTTCAAAATGTAAAGTCTCTACAGGTTTCCTACTTTAAAAACTATTGTTTGTCAAGATTTTCTCTTAAACTGGTTACATTATGTTAGAAGAGGTTGTGAGGATTGAAGTATGCCTATTTCGTTTCCTCATTAGGGATGTTAATAAAACTGAAAAGAGATAGAAAAGACGAACAGCATTTAACGGTGACAGAAGATAGTTTAGCAATAACAGCGGGAGTTTTGTTCCAACTGCGCTTAAAACTTGGGTTCTGTTCCATTTTTGTTGACGTTGTGGATACATCAATCAAGTCCTCATGCTTCAATAAGTGCTTGGACACCACCACATCTGCCGGTGAAGATCTCTGGGCTAATCAACGGCTAGGTCATCTTGGGCCCGTTAGATTGAACTACTCTGCTGTCCTATGTTAAAGAAACGTTTGCCTACACTCTATATAAAAATATCATAATCAGGATGGAGAAAATGTTAAAGTATGCTTTCTTGTTTATTTACAAAGCGTAAGGTACTACTCCTAGATTCACTAGCGCTCTGTAGGAAGCCGTTGAAAATGGTTAAAATATGTTTATACCTGAGTAGATTTCCAATTACCCAAGTTGAAGTAAAGGAGTTAATAAATCTGTAAACAGTAAAATGAAGAGCAGATTGTTCTAGTCTCGGACATATATAGCACCATAGTCATGTTATTTTAGCTGCAAACGTCAAGATATGCTTAGTGTTCATGAGATTACTTCTGCTCTATGGTTGTGAAAATTGGCCCATTTGGGATGGAAATATCTAGCGACTGTATGTCAGATCACCGCCTTCTTCGAATGATCGCTTACCTTTCAATGACAGCATTCTCACCAAGCTATGTCTTTTGCCTCTGAGACTAGGTCGAAAATACAGGTATCCATTTTTAAACATAGTACAGTGATGAAGAAGATATCCCAAAGGACTAGTATCTATTATTCCATTAGAACCCGCTGGTTGAGATCCTATATATTGTCTAATTCAGTGGTTTGGGATGTTATCTGATAGTGTTTGGAAGTCAGCGGCAGTCCTGTTGAGGTTTTCAGCAGGAGTTTCCGTAAAATCAAAAGGAACTGTATCTTTTAAGAAAAACCATTTTTATTCATTCACAGCCTACTACAATGAAATCTCTTTTTTCATGTTATTGTAATTTTTTATTTGATGGCGCATGTTTTTCTCACTACTTGTTGAGAATGTCTATTCGTTATTAATAAAAAATGAAATAAGATAAAACTGGGGAATAATAAATCACGTAACACAATTATATGGAACTGGCGTGGTGGAGAAATACTCGTAAGAGTCAAATATCTTAAGTATTGAAAGACGGAAACGGATTCAGTGGATCAAATGTTCTATCTAATAAAATGAACATAATGATACCGTTAGAAGAAGCGATATGACAAAATTAAGAAGTAAAATCACATTCCTTTACTGGATATGGTTTTTAGTTCAACATTATCTGTTTTAATTCTACGTAGAAATTACTCATTGTAGTACTTGTTTTGTCTTCTAGTGTGATATTTTATTCGCTACAATATTAATTTATTTGAGTGTGATTTCCACTTAAGATACGATATTCTTGTATTAAATTAAAACGAACTATGATCAGCATGACGATCAGCATATGATTTGTTATAATTTTAGGTATTTCCCAAATATATGATTTCATCCTAATTGATAATGAAAATGGGTGTGCAATCAATATGTGATGAGTGCATTTTCGACTAGAATCGTCGTGTTTAGTGGTTAACAAATCTATATTTTTAAGTCTTGGTGTTTTTAATTTGTGTTGTGAGATTTGTAGTGGTTCCTCGTTTTATAAGTATGAATAATAAGCGATTCTGACATAACAATCTGCAACGCAGTCATAACAATAAGTATTAGGGCTTTGGTATGAATAGCTAGCAATAATCTTATGTTATAAGTCCTAATGAGAAAATAATATTGATGTTTTTCTCATGGTTATCAACTTCTTACCATTTATATTTGAAGAGTAGTTGTTCTACTAATTGTATTTTAAAGGAAACAAATAGCATGTATCATATTGTGGTGCGTGCTACTTATACTGATGTAAGTAGTATATTGTGCGAGTCAGGAATGTAATGTCTAGCAGCAGAAAATGGTGAAAGATCAAGAAAGCAAGAGTGGGAATAGAATGCAATTTGTATAAAAGTGTAAAAACAATGAAGTCTGAGGCATTTTGAGACAAGTGGTGGACATTTTGCAAATTAATGATTTAATATATAGTTCTCAGATTTTATTAAGATGCTCTGTAATTTTCCGTTAAGCAAGGTTGGTTGTATTCACTCGTGTTCTGTTCGCTACGTTCTAGCAGAGCAGTTGTGACTCTGCATTTATGCCAAAATTAAAATAAGCAGTGGCATAGAATCCCAATTCCTTTAGAGGTGATTATTTAGATTATTATTATTATTATTATTATTATTGTCATTATTATTATTATTATTGTCATTATTATCATTATTATTATTATTATTATTATTATTATTATTATTATTATTATTATTATTATTATTATTATTATTATTATTATTATTATTATTTGAACACATAAATATTGGTACGAGAATGCGCCACGCAAAACAATGAGAATTTAAGGGGAAGGAGAAAAAAAGAGATTGATGTAAGGTGGTGTAATAATAATGATGGTAAAAATGGCGGAACTGACAGGTACAATCAGAAGAAATCTTTCAGTTAAGGGAGACACAACCACTTTTTATGAAGAAAGAAAAAGAAGGTTACAGCAGGATCGCCACTGGCTTCTATTCTGAGCCATATCTGATAACGTCTCTAGCCATTGTGTTGCACCATCTCTAGGACCCCAACCAGGAAGTCGTAAAGGACCAACACAAGCCAGTCCTTTGCAGCTTTCTTTCATGCCACGACACCATGTCATGCACTGACCACCTCTCCGCTTCTTCCAACCAGTCCCAGAGTCGGCAAATAATGCACGACGTGGAATTCTCTGGGACGACATTCGTAGAACATGTCCAAGCCACCGAAGTCGGTGTTTCAAGATGGTGACACCGATTGCATTGTCATCTCTGTGCCGAACCTCTGCATTACTAACATGGTGTTGCCACTGGATGTCAGCAATCCTTTGGAGACAACGATGATCGAACACAGAGAGTCGTCTAACGTCCTCAACTCGGAGAGGCTAGGTTTCACAAGCATAGAGCAAAACTGCTCTCACCGACGCGTTGTAGATCCGACCTTTTACAGCCAGACTAACATCACGAAGGCGCCGAAGATGGCTCAGATTGGCATAAGCCGCTCTGGCTTTCACTATACGTGCATTGATCTCATCACTCACATCCCCACCAGGACTTATGCAGCAACCCAGATACACGAACTTCTCGACTACGTCTATCTGCTCACCATCCAGGGTGAGTACAGGATTGGAATCCTGCCAGTCTTGTAGAAGTACTTTGCACTTCGAAGGTGCAAAGCACATACCATACCTACGGACACTGATTGCCAACTGATTAAGTGCGAATTGCATTGCTTGAGCATTATCGCACAGTAAGACAATATCGTCCGCATACTCAAGGTCGAGAAGTCTTTCTCCAGGCAACAGATCCACACCACCATTACTTACATTCATCAGAGCTGTTTCCAGAATGTCATCGATGGCAAAGTTGAAGAGGAATGATGAGATTGGGCAACCCTGCCTAACCCCACTACTCGAATGGAACAATGGAGAGAGGTGGTTGTATGCCCTCACTCTGCCTGAGGTGTTTTTATATAGGGCTTTTAGGATGTTAATAAACTTCTCAGGCACACCCTTCTTCAATAGACAATCCCAGAGAACAGTTCTGTCCAACGAATCGAAGGCGGCCCTAATGTCAAGAAACACTACGATTGTTAGCCTTTGATAAGTATGATGGTGTTCTAACATTTGGCGGAGGGTGAAGATATGATCAATACATCCTCAACCGGAACGAAACCCAGCCTGCTCCTCTTGAGTCAATCTTTTTCGGGTTTTGAAGAACCTACGAAGTATGACGGAAGCCAATAGCTTGGACGCAATCGGAAGTAGACTTAACCCCCGATAGTTGTTACAGGAACGACGTGAACCCATTTTTAAGATAGGGACAACTATCGACTCATTCCATGACGTTGGTACACTCTCTAGTTCCCAAACCTTTGTAGACAACGTCGTCAATTCCTTAGTCAGAAAGCCACCACCATGTTTAAAAAGAGCCGGAGGTAAGTCATCTGGGCCAGGTGATTTGTAGCGCTTCAAGAGTTGGAGTTCCTTGCGGACTTCCTCCTCATTTGGTGGATCAGTCGTCACCGGCCATGGAGGGCAGGACAGTCGGACCGATGTTGCCGGAGCAGAAGGCCAGTTGAACTGCCCTTCGAAAAATTTTGCCCATCGTCCAAGACGTCGATAGATGTTAGTGATTGGTATCCCATCATCCCCACAGATTGTTTCACTCACACCAGACTTCTTGCTGCCAGTGGCTCGGATCAGCTGGAAGAGCTTCCGGTAATTACCATTTGCAGCTGCTGCTTCCAGCTCATTAGCACGCTTCGACCACCAGGCTTCTCGGTCCGTACGCAAGCTTTGCCCAATTTCCTTACGTAACAACCTTCGTTTGTGGTCAAACTCACGGTCACCCGGAGTAGACCAACGGGCTTTGATGAGGTGTAAGAAGCCTGAAGAAACTCAGTGCTTGTAAGCGGGACGTTTCGCGAACCCACAACTGACTTTACTCGCCATTTCCATGGCGTCATGCAATTGCGACCAATGCTCATCTATACTTTTCGGTGGAGTGGTAGCTAGCCTAGAGGCTAGCTCGGTTCGATACTTACTTACAACAGAAGTTGCAACCAGCTTGCTAATATCAATCCGTTGATGGCGGTCACTTCGTTGGCCACTGAAAAGTAAGGCAAGATTGGTGCAGACCAAGGCATGGTCAGAGTCCAGATAGGTATTCCAAAAGGAGCGGCAGTCTTGTACAGAACCACGCCAGCGGTAGCTGATCGCGATGTGATCAATCTGAGTCCAGGCTTGAGATGCAGAGGGAGGACGCCAGGTGGCATATCGGCGATGACTGTGCCGAAAGTTAGTGCTAGCCAGAAACAGGTTGTGGTCTGTGCATAGTTGCAGTAGACGGCCCCCATCCTCGTTATCTGACCTGCGACCAACGAGTCCCCATCGGCCACCTAAACGACTCTCTTCTGTGCCTAGACACTCGACCTGAGCATTCAAGTCTCCGGCTAGTACTACAATATCTGTCGAACGCACTTTCTGGAGAAGAACAGATAACTGGTGGTAAAACTCATCCTTGATTGCATCCGGGCTGCAATCTGTCGGAGCATAGGCGGAGATGACGAAAAGACATCGTTTCTCACGCCGATTTCTTCTCACTTTGATGGAACTTTCTAATCTAACAGCACACAACCGACTGTTAATGGGGATCCAATCGATTAGTGCTGCCTCAGCTCTAGCGCTTAGTGCGACACCAACGCCAGCAAGACCAGACGAAGATGCCACAGGGTCCCCGGATAAGCGCACGTAAAACAAGCTTTTCGAAGCGACAGATGGAGATCGAATTTGTAGTACTTCACCAGAGTCTTGAATATGGGTCTCGGATAGACAGCAGACATCGATATGAAGACTTTCCAAAGATATAGCCAGCCCTATCTGTTGTCCGACCTGCATAAGTGTGCGAACGTTGAAAGCAGCCAGTTAGAATGGTGCACGTGGTTTCAGAAAAACTGCTTCAGTGCTCATATTTGGTGGTAACATACAATTTTCAACCGGACAGTGACTCGAGAACGTTTAGGTAGAGTCGAATTTCCACCAAAGACGAGCTGCTGTATAAACTGAAAAAATAAGTATAGACGGAGTAGGAGTAAAAGAGGGTGAATAATGATGTAGTAAATAATAATAATAATAATAATAATAATAATAATAATAATAATAATAATAATAATAATAATAATAATAATAATAATAATAATAATAATAATTTGGATCATTTGACTGTTATTCGGAGCAAGAAGTGTAGTTTCCATAGATATAGAGAGTTCATCATTTGCGTGTGGGCTGTGATACTACCCGGGTGCCCAGACCGAAGCAGGTGCTTATCTTAGGGGGCCACACCCCGAGTCTTTGATCTTAAGGTCTAACCCACAAGGCAGTGGAGCATCGTAAGGAGATGCAATCCCATGGTAGCCGGTGACCAAAGATTGGTTCATACGCCATTTGTTCCCGCAGGATACTGGAGCCCATGTGCACCATTGATTTGGGATCCGGTTAAAGCGCTGGACATTCGCTTTTCGTCCTCTGATTTTCGTAAACAACACCCCCGCCACGAGAAGGCAATGAGTAGGACTTTCCTGGCAGAGGCTATATACGCGTGGCCATGTGAGAGCATTTCAAGAGGGAGAGCGGACTCTCCTCACTCTCGGACGTACTAGGGTATTTGGGGGCTAATTCCTTAGACGGTTATTTAGAAGCTATATTAAAGGGTTGAAATTTATATCTGTTTCACGTTTTGAACAATTTATCTTTATAGCACCAGATCAACAAGTAAACACATTAATAAATAGATATGATCCACACAGAGATAATGACTGCAAGGACCAGCATAGCTTATGATTTTTACCAGTGATATTCAAGTTAGATTTCAATTTCTGCAAGTCAAAACTGCAACAGGAGACGACTATGGCTTTCTTTTTGCAAACTTAATTACTAAAACATTGAAGACTTTACCTACATCATGAATCTATAATCTAATTATCTAGATAAGCTCATAGGGCAAATAAACTCAAAACACTTCAGTCTCTGATAATCATATCATGATGATTATTATGTTTGTCTACCCCTGTACATCTTTATTGTCAGGGGCGCTGAATATTAAAAACATAAATGTGAACCGCGAGTTATCTTATTGGGTATTCTTACCATTAACAATACCTCGGCAAACCAAAAATTTACTTCATAAGTCTTTTACATTATATTCAAGTGAATTTTTTCTTCTGGAGTTTGAGAGTCTGCATATTTGGTGTATATGTTTAAACCTTACCTGATATTTCCCACGTTCCATCTGCATTATTCTATGGCTTCCACAGAGATACTGCCACACTCTTGAACGTATAGCCGGTGCAATACCTTTTCGACATTGATTTCTCACCCGATCTGTTTTATAATACATCCATTTATCCCATTCAGTCAGCATATTTTGCCATTTCAATTCTTTTCGGCGTATTTTATTCAAAGAGGATTCAGAAAGTTTCCTGTGTATTTTGGTTTAACCTGATGATCCACCTTACCGCGTGTTTGTTTCGCAGAATTGTTCACCTTCGAAGAATCCATAACGATCAACAGCACCGTTTACCATCAGGATGTTGGCTGATTCGTCGAAAACTTCTATATATTTAATGAAAAGTTATGCTTGATATAAAAAACTAACCGGAAGCCATGTCATTTCAAACTGTTGTGACTAGGCAGTCTAGAAGTACATTATCACAACAAATTGCATAACAACACAGAAATTCGATTTCTATGCCTTTTGGTTTGTATCGACTGCAAAGAATTCAGGAATATTCAGTATAAAAAGTCGTTAGTCAATAAAAGATATCTTGAAGATTGGATCAAAAATCACCTGAAGACAGAGGTGAGTATAACAAGTAGTCTTAATTGCTTAATGGCAAATAAAACCCATCTAAAAACAGATAAATATGTATATATATATATAAAGCTTGAAACTCACTTTTTGGTGGCGTTTGGTTCTCTGAGCTGTACGCTTTGGTCGTGGAGTTTTTATCGTTCTTCTGAACGACAACATCAGCACAAAATTCAGGTAAAAGTGGTGTTTGAGTTTATCCACATATGACTCACAGCTTGTCCTGTAGACCTTGACTATTGTTGACCTTTAACTTGTCATTGTTTAGTTTTTTTATTTTTATTGTATCACCCGTCGATTTGACTCTTGGTCCTATATTTGTCTATAATTTTTTGATTGGTTGATAAATTGGACTGAACACTTCACTTCTACTTGAAGTTTGTGCTGATGATATCGTTCAGAAGATTGATGGAGGCTCCACAACCAAACCATCCAGTTCAGGTAACAAAACCCTACCAAAACCATCCACCTAAGCTACAAATCTTCTATACCACCTCTGTAGCTTGCTTTACTTGTTTAGGAACATAAACTTTTGTCCAAACATCGAAGTATATAAAGTCTCATTTATTCTGGCTATTAGTCATTACAGTATTGGTAATGATGACAAAGTGTCACGCAGTCAATGGTTAGACCATAATAGAATTCACTTAGAGCGCATGTCTGAGAAGTGGTTACACTAATAGGCAGTCAGTCATACGCAACGTACAACTTGACTAACATGTATATACTTTGAAGCTGCTACTATCAATAGAATCATCCACCCTCAAGGATCTTTGTGGCTTTGCTGTATCAGCGCTCATGACTTTGCACTTATGTCCAAATAAAGAGATGCAATAATGAAAAGTTATGTATCCATTAAAAATCTATCATTATAATTTGTCGATATAGGGACAAAAACGACAGCGTTAGATTTTAAGTATCATTATATCAGTGAAGATCTATACTTTCGGGACTTAGGTTCTCACCATAACTCCATTCACCTTCTACGGATGGGAACACTTGGCTGAGGTACGTTTTACACTTTAATAACAAATATCAGCTGTTGGCACTAATTTAACATATGATTTAAACTTAATTAATGTGTTTGCGACTGCATGTTAGAAATTTCCTTCACTCATCTTAGTCACAAAGTAAACAGGTAATATTTTAAGAAATCATATGACTTTCAGTCAGTTTATGTACGTTGACTTCACTTTTGGTTTTAGTTTCACTTTGATTTAAACAAATCGAAGGACTGACGTGAATCTCTTCAGAGGTTTCAATCAGCATACTGACTATAACCATTCCCTTTAAGAGTTTTGTAGACACTTTGTTGTAATGCTAAGAGGGTATTGGTTGAAGCCTTTGATCCTGCTTCAGAAATAAGCTGATTCACTGTAGTATTCACCATTAAAATTCACTTTTAAAATGAAACAAAATGTTGTTCAGTTTGAAGAGATGTGTCAAAATGTTTCACATAAGGTGGTTAAAATTAATTGTCAAATTATACTTCAAATAATACAGTAAAAGGAGAGAAGAATCAACTATTATTTAACAGGCGATCTGATAAAGGGCTTGAGATTTGTAACCATGAAACATGATGAATCTCTTTTCATGGGTCTAGTGAACAACAGATATTACCTATATATCTTCCCTCATATCTCAGAGCTAGTCAAAGTCACTGTATATTGTGAACAACAGAAACTAAGTAACCGAGCTCATTGGGAGTTTTACTATTTCTTTAAGTTTTATCACGATTTTCGGTTACAGACTGATGAGATGTCGATGTACATTTGATAGGTTTTCTTAAATTTATAAGTAAAATTCATTTGATTACTTGTTAAAATACAGTAATTGTAACAGAATCATTCCTTACAAATATGTGATGAAAACAAGGGGAACCTTGTAGTAATTAAACTTATTCTTTTACTTCATTTTATCAGTTGGCTTTCAAATATATTTGCTTTGGAATTTAGGCAGCAGATTAACTAAAAGTATTCATTACCAGAAGGTTTTACTACACATGTAATGACATCCAAGCTTGCATAAAGTAATCTAAGTTGAAAGTTGGGCCGAAAGTTCCAGAACTCCAGGTAAAGCAAGGCTGACTTTTGCCTAACCTTTGCTGACTTTAATGATTCACATCAACCGACTATAGCTCATAGCTCCCGGTATATATTTTGACGGCAGCTTACTGTTGACTTAGAACGTGAACCATTATTGTCAGACCTTGTTCATACTAGTCGCTGCGACATCACAGACATTCAGTTTCCATTCACTCTGCCAAACAGAGGTCACATTGTATTGTTCTATGGGCTTTAAACGCAATATACAACATGCATCTACTACACTCCGTCTCATCTGATGAGTCAACATTCCTTCAATCTGAAACTGTGGTATCTCAACAGATTGCATATTAAGAGAACAAAACAAATGATAGAATCCCTCCATTATACCAGCTAAACTAGATAATGCCGAGGCTGAAAGTTCACCAAACTATTTTAATCAGGTGTACTCATATGATGTTGTTATTAACACTTTTCACGGCCAAGCTGTTGAGATTCCGGCTATAGGACCAGTACATGTGACTGCAAAATTTGCTTTTCGTTTACGTGTTAGCATTAAACTTGGTAAGTCACTGAGCTCTGGTGGGTTACATACAAGATTGTTGTCATCCGTCGCGGATACTATTTCAGAACCACTCACAGTTGCAGTTCAACATATCTTTTTCCAAAATTCAATTCTCTAGAGATTAGGCAAATGCTATAGTTAAACCTATATTCAAGCATGAAACAAGATAGATCATGTTTATCTACCGACCTATCAGTCTAACTGACATAGTAGTTAAGGTATTTAAGAAAATAACTCGGACTAAGCCACTAAGTCACGTAAAACCATATAATTTATTGGCTACTTGGTAGCACGATTTTCGGAACAGGTACTCGTCCTTAACTAACCTACTAGCTGCGAGGGAGGTTGATCTTTTTGTCTGCCTGATATTTATAGATTAACAAGATATTTAATAGATCGCCTTAATTAAGAGTTATGCAAAACACTCCAGATTTGGAATAAAAGATGTCACACAAGAGTGGATGAGAAACTTTCCCTGTGGGTAGAGATAAAAAGTGGTGGTAAATGAAACAATGTCTGAATAGAAGTTGGTTAGATATCCCATGTCCTAAGGCACTCTCTAAGACCCTGTGTCTTTTGTTCTGTTTCAATGGTTTATCAGGACTGTTCAATTCATCGACACTGTGTTTAAAGATGATATCAAAATTTAGAGAACAAAAGGTGCTGACGATGATCAACCTAATTATTCGGTCGCCCGAGATTTGACTCCACATAACCGAATGATAATGATGTCGAGGAAGTGTATATAACCTGTTTACTTAGTAGATATTCTGTTGACGTATCCCGTCAATAACAACGTAGATATGTGAAGTCAAATGTGAAAGCATTAAAGCGACATATACTACAGACATTTCACAGTGTAGAAGAACGGCAAGAAACGAGAAATGCACATGAACTGGAGTTTCAGAAGCGACCAATTCAGTATGTAATAGGTTACTCGATCCATGTAAGCCTGAAAGAGATAATAAGTACAAGACTCTCGCACTAACGTACACAAGAACATGAACCATGATCAAGGTTATATGTGAGTACTTGACAAAGACAAAATTATGGGTGATAGAGAAAAACGACACATTCTAAGATGCGTCTAACGTAAGGAAATTATACCGCTTCTGGATAGTCGTCCACCTAGCTACAAAGGAGAGGTTTTCTCAGTTGAGGTTTGTTTGCGACAACGGACATGTTGATCAACAATGTTGACAACAATGGCGTGAGTATGTAGTGTCAGTTATTATGCCAAGCCCATATACCTTATTCTAGCTTTCGGACATCCCATTTTATTCATTCTTCTCGAGTCATATTTTGACCTTGTCAATTATTCGCTTATCAGTCTTGACTGTTTTTATATGAGCGTATATGTGTGTGTCCTTCTTATTTCATTAATAACATGTCTGTAGCTTAATTTTGTCTGACTATAAATATTGAGTAACGCTTGACTAAAATGGAGTTGGCTTCCCAGCCATCTTCCCTGCGTGTCATTTTTGCTTTGCTCTGTTTCATTCGCTTCATGTACAAAATATATGTATTCATAAGTCGATTCTCGTTATTCCACTTATTTAATTCCGTTATTGACTGACGCGATTTAAGTCGACGATTATATACGAGAATAGGCTATAACAATCATTCGTACGATCTAAATATGAGCCAGATCCACGGGCCACTAAAAGTGTTTTGGAATTGCGTCATGTTTTCGAAATTAACTGAAGAAAAAATACGTTTATATATAATCGGGAGATAGTTCTCTTAATTTCGGGGAAAGGGCACTGAAACCCCAAACTTTCTCCTAAACCTTGATGAAGGTCATTCGACTTGGGGGATTTCCCCAAAATATCCCCAAACTTGAGAGATTGAGTTAACAAACACAAAATATGTAGTCCCCACGATGCACACTAATTGTTCAAACAATTCCTCACATTAATAAGATTTAAACTTTATTGTTCGTGAAGAATAATGATTAAAACCTATTTGTCCAGCTTATCTTATAATAAAAGCTGCGGTATTATCGTTGTCATTGCCAGTGACCTTCAATAGTTTCAATATCCAGTTTGTCCTATTGTGACAGCTTGTTATACGGTATTAAGTACTTCTGAACGAACAAATCTGGTCTGGGTATAGAACAATATGTTTAGTATGAAGCGGAATGAGCTACATAGAATTCTCACGCTTGCATGGACGAATCATGCCTGAATGATTAAGTGCTCCAAAGTTCATCTTTTCTGAAACCCATGTTGTTAATGTCAAATGTTGTGAATCAGATTATCATATGTGATGTGATGATCGTAGAAGTAGTCAGTACCAGTCTGAGCGGCATATTTTGCTCATTTTATCTTCGGAGAGATATGTCGTTCAAATAGTCTGGAAAATGACATATCACAGAAGATTATACAAATATGATGTTAAGCAAACATTGAAGGCATCAAGTTAG